GTATTATCCAATGAGATATCACGGAAAGCAGACAGCGATATTGGTTGCGGTATGGATGGCTTGTGAGTTGAAGTTCGCTTGTAGCATTTGAGATATCTGTTTGTTGACATATGAGCTCACGTTGCTTTTGTCACAGTTCCATGTCTACTTGATCCATTTACCTGTTCAGGTATTACTGTTGGATCAGTTTCAAGTTCTATCCAATACACACGAGAAACGATGCCCGGTGCACAATATTATGACGGTAAAAAGTTAAACATACCAATATCGAAGGAGGCCGGAATACAACTAATCGAGCGATGGATTCATCAGGGAATCAGCAGTATTATGGCTTGTATTGCTACCCAACAGTCAGTTTTTTAATATATGTGCAGTCTTACATGTGGAAATCCGGAAAATCCAACAACATGTACTATATATAAAACGATACATCATCCACGTTTTTAAAAAAAATAAATAAATTTGCGTTTTTTTAGATAGACTTATTCTGAAAATTTTTTTTAAATGCAAAACGGAAGCAAAAAAGATTAAAAATACTCGCTAAAAAGCAAATATGCAAAGTAAAATATTTTTGAAAAAAAGACGACAGAAAAGAAATTAAAATTTCGACGCTTTGATTCTCATACGGTGGTTTTCGTTTGATATTTTATGCATTACTCCTTCTCGCAGGTATAAGCAATGTCCTATTATTTGCTCTTGAACTTTTTTTTTAAATAAAAATTTTAGATTAGAAACAACGTGGCATAGTTTCTTGTACTGTTCTATCCAGCACAAAAAAATGTGGCGACTTTTAAGGGAGCATCTGAAAATCATCAGTTGGCGATCTTACTTTCAACTGCACGTTCAAATACAACTGTTTGTTTTTAAAATTAACAAATTGTTTGGCAGAAAATAGTTTATTTCAGTCTAAACGAATTGAACGAGTATGAACGAAATCGACTGCAAAAGTGTTCAAAAAGTTCTGAGGATATTTATGAGCAGGCGCGTTGTTTGGTTCGAGCCATTGATGCAAAGCCTAAGCAGACAGATCCTACAAGAAGTAGGCACCGTTTTTTGCCTTACAACTTTTCAACTCCCTTGGCAGGAGGTTTAATTATTTGAATAGCTGAAAATTTGATAGTTTAATGGAAATGCCTGCAACTCATGCAGGCATTTCCATTAAGTTGTCAAATTATCGTGCATAATTCTAACTTTCCCAGATTAAATGTCATTTTAAGCATTAAAGTGGTAATTAATTATTTGATTTGACATTTGATTATAGAATTTAATGATACATCATTTCCTCGTACCGTTTCCCATCTACAAAAGCTACAAAAATTGTTGAATGGAAAGCGAAAGAATACAGTTGGTGCTCTGATCCAATCTGAATCACACGAAATCGATGTGAAGCGAAATAAAGAAAGAAAACGAGTGGAATTTCGCACACGACGAAGTGTAGTCAATCGACATAATTATAAGTTGCATACCGAATATGAACATTTGACACCCTTCGGCATTCTCGGAAAATACTTAGCGAAGATGACGAGAGTTATCAAAAATAAGGACCCGAATTTATCGTTAGTCTCGAG